CGTCGGTCTGGCCTCAGATTGCACGACAAAACCCGCACCCTTCTGACGTTTAGTAGAAAAGAACCGAGCCACATCAGCTATTGCCAAATTTAACTGGGCAGTTTAATTTTTTACAACAGAACGCTTGTGCTGATTCCTTTGAAAATCCTAAGGAATTTGCTTGGTATATACTGCGCAAAAAATTTACTAAGATTTGCATAAATATCCGCACAAGCGTTTTCATGGAAAAAACAAAATCGCCTAATTAAATTCGGCAATAGCTTTTGTGGCTTGGTTCCTTTCTGCTCAACGTGGTCCAAATTAAATTGGGCAATTTAATTTATTACGAGAGAAAGTTTTTGCGGATTCTTTTAAAATTTCAAGGAATTTGCTTCGTACAATGCAGGATATCCACTGAAATTTGTATAAAAATCCGCATAAACGTTTTCATGAAAAAAATTTGAATGTCCAGTTAAATTTGGCAGCAGCTGACGTGGCTTGGTTCGTTTCTGTTTGACGCGGGTGAAAATTCACCGAGATTTGCATAAATACCCAAACAAGCAGCTTCATGTGAAAAATTAAATTGCCCAATGGACCACTAGACAAGGTACGAATTTAAGCATTCTAATAAATGTTTCATGACTAGAATTTCACGTAGAACACGATTCGCGCAACGAAAATTACCGAAATCAACTCTTGACAAAAATATTAACGTTTTTATTTCACATTCGTTACGAGGAATTTGAACTGCCCGCTAACAAGAAACTCAAAGCTCTACGTGAGTCAAATCGTGCACTACAACGGTTTCAGCAAGCTTCTCAATCAAGCTATATTCATTCCCCACCATGTGCTGTTCAAACTATAAACAACTTGCTATAGCTGAGCCAAAGCGCCAAGATTAAGGTTGCCAGATTTTTATATCGCAAAGACTGTCATGATAACGTTTAGCCTGCGATGTGAGTCACGTAGAGCATTGAGTTTTCATGAGCGGGAGTTTTGAATTCACGCATCAAGAATCAATAAATATCTTCATAAGGAGTTGATTTTGGTAATTTTCGTTGTGCGTATCGTGTTCTACGTGAAATTATGGTTATGAAACGTGTATCAGAATGCTGAAATTCGTGCCTTGTCTACTGGTCCATTAAAGTTGGAAACCTCATGTGGCTTGGTGTCTTTCTGCTAAACGCGGTCTATATAGTTTATGAAACCCAGAATGCTTTTCTATCCCCCTATCTCATTAACCGATTGCGGGGGAGGGGGGGTTGACAATTTACCCCCGGGACGACCCTGATCTTTTATTGCCTCAATTCCCGACACCAACTTTTCTCACCGTATCGGATACCCTATCACGGAACCTCTGAAATGTTTCGCCCCCCGAGGTCCCTATCACGTCGCACAATGGATCGAGTCATTCGGTGAGGTCGGACAAAATTTGTAAACTTTAAACGCTTATAACTCCGTTTATACAAATTTTTCAGGTTCTAAAAGTGGTTGCATTGGTTTCCACATAAAGTTCTCTTCTAGGAACACCCGTTAAAATTTAAAATGTGACGAATTCAACATAAAAATGTACAGTTTGAGTCAAAAATGTTATGTCCGACCTCCAGTGATCCGATATCAAATTCCTAGCGGGGAAGAAAAAAAATCCCAAAATCCCCAGATTTGCTCAAATATCCCCAAAAAATCCCTAGATTTTGCAAAAAACCGCCATATTTAACGAAGAATCATGACGTCATTCGATGTACCGATTTGCAATATTTAAATCTGATTGGCTCGTTTGATTTTTGCCGCTCTCTGAAAGCAGTGCTAATCCAGACCAATAAAATGAAAGAATATTAGTTGAGTTCTTAATATTATTGTTTTTGTACTGTTGAATACAGCTGAATGTCAAGTACATCGAGTGACGCAATCGTTTTAATTTCCGGCTTATTTACGGGGAAAATAGTGTTGCCAAATAGGCCTACAAAATATAGATGAAAAAATATTTTCGATGGTCGAAGCCAGAATTGAGGTTAAAAAGTCGATTTTTGCTTACTTTACCTTAGAGTCCCATTTATACTGAGAGTCAAGACAATTTGAATCCATTTCTGATTGGTTCCCGTATTTTAGGCCTCCACAGTGTCACAAACGGGAATAAAGATTACATTTTCACCAATTGCAAAGATTATAATCTGGAATGGACCAGGGAATTACGGGTTCGGCAAGGAACAAACGGAATGAGAGGAGGAACGGAAAAAGGCATTTGAGAATGGGCCGATCAAAGATTACGAAAAACGTTCAATTTCTGTAATCTTTATTCCCGTTTGTGACATCCATGAGCCGAATTGTCTTGACTCTCAGTATAAAGGGACTCTACTTTACCTTATCAAAAAAATCCCTAGATCCCTAGAAATTCCGGAAAATCCCTAGCTCTAGGGATAAATCCCGAGACATCGGATCACTGCCGACCCCTCCAGTTGGCTCGATCCACTGTGCGTCGGTGGCGCCAAAACGTGCGAAACGCGGTTCGGCGGCGCGCGATACCGGGCCGCGATTGGTCGGCGAGTGCGGGGGTTGTGTTTGGGGGGTAGGAAGCGTGGGGGAGGGGCGTATGCAATCGGGGGCTGCGGCGCGTCCGAACCATACTCAACCCGCGTCGGCTCAATCCAACTGCCGCTCTCTCGCTACGCTTCCACACCTGTCAGGTGGTTGTCGCGACGCAACCCTCAACGATCGCAGTCTGACGTCATCGACGCTCACCGAGGTCCAGGTACGGAAACATCACTTGTCACCCTTGCGCTCTCAACCTCTTGGGGAGCATTCGCTAATTACGTAACGCACCTTTTTTTTAAACCCCGCACCTCCTCACCTCCCCATGTAGCGCTTCGTAACGCAGCTCTGCCCCCCCCCCTCCCCCAATTTATAATTACGTAAACGCTCGAAAAAAAAAATCTCTTGAATTTACGTAATGCACTTTTTCGACAAATTTTGACGTTTATTTTGTCACGTTGTAAATTTTCAGTGCTGCTCCTCAGAGTAAATTTCAAGAAAAACCCAATGAAACCACTTTTAAACTCCTACACATTAAAATATACATGTTGAGTGGGACCTCATTCGTAACATTAATCTTCAATTTCGACGTTTCGCGACATCGCGTGACGTTAAAAATATGGACGCTGACGAAATCACCAAAGAATAGACAAAAATACGTCGACTGTAGGAGGGAACAACGTCTATCTACCCCTTAAGTGAACGCATTTGCGTGTACTTGGTACATTTTGATTGCATTTTGCAAAAAGGAACCATTAGCATTGCAATGTTGCTAAGATTGTGCAACTTCTTTTGTCTTGAAGGAAAAACCCGATTATTCATTAATAGTTTCTATTTTACTCGCTAAAAACTGTAAATTTAAGACAAAAATTACCATCTAAATTTCATAGTTTTTAACGATTTCCGCAATTTTATTGCAAAAGATGAAGTTGCACAATCTTAGCATCATTGCAATGCTAGTGGTTCCTTTTTGCAAAATGCAATCCATACGGCAGCATACAGTTTATTCGGTGTGATAAATCGAGTCTATTTTAGGTGGGCTCCGTTGCATCAAGCAACTAAACCAACTTCGCGGCAATGCGTAGAGTGTCACCAAAATTGAAGGCGTTTTCGATTGGAAAGCGCGCTAACTGTCTCTCACGGCACTTTAATTAAAAATTATCTCGCGCTTTTGAAACTTTTCTCAGTATCAAAGTAGTGTCAACAATTGTAGAGGGATCCCATGGAATTTAGTGCATATGTTTTGGGATATTTAAACTTTTGAGTTCTTAACATAATGTCAGACGTCATCTGCTGACTCTTTCCACCGCGCGTATAAGATAGAATTTAAAGTCGGAACTGCGGGTTGATTGTTGAATCGTTATCGAATGATCCTAATCGATAGATCCCTATCTTAGCAATGCTATTTGGACTACATTTTGCAATTTTGAACTATAAATTCTAGCCCGGTTTAAAAACAACGCATGTTCCATCAGTTTTCCTATGCGCATAAGTGTTTTTCCAGAAGCGCCAGAATTTATAGTTCCAAATTGCAAATTGCAGTCCATTTATCGATCAAAGTCATTCAATATCCATTTAACAATCGACTCGATGGCCTGACAGCTTTTTTACCATCAAAGGTGTCTCAAGGTAAAATCGTCAGACTGAGGGAGAATATTCTCTGAACCAGTGCAAGACGTTTCTCTTACATGAAATGTTTAAATAAGAAAAAAAGCCTTCGATTGAAGCTACTAACCCCCCTAATTTTTTTTGGAAAACTATCATTTTTCTCCTTTTTTTTCGTCAACGGTTATGGACCTAAGCTCATAAAAAATGGCAACCTCCCTTAATTTTTAGGCCTTGACTCATCGATGGCTTCAAAAATAAGCACTCTTAAGTTACCGGAAGAGTTCAGCGACTTAGCCAGAGCTTCAGGCCCCCTCAGTATTTTGAGAAAATTATGGATTTTTTCTGATTTTTGTCGACAGTTATAGACTAAAATTTATAACAAATGGCACTCTCGCACCCGGTTTCAGGACATTTTGTCAACGATTTTTTGTCCGCGCACCTTTTTTGTCCAGTAGTTTATAGGCCAGGCACCAAGGGAATGAATATTGAATTAAATGCTGGAAAGCTGGGAATTTTTTGAAAAGACGTATTATGAGGTCCTTAAATAAGGGTTAGTTTTGCACCATTCCTGAAGTGGAGCTTCAGCCGCCATCTTGGATTTTTAGGCCTAAAATCGCTATTTTTTCGGTTTTTGGCCTATAAGTCAGTGAAAAAGTCATTTTTCCGTCAAAATACCTCAGTGCTATAATTAAGCTTATTAAATTTCCTTTTAAAAAGGTGGTATACGTTTTTTTCATGCGACCCACCATTTTCGAGTTATAATTGTCGCAAAGTTGGGCTTTTAAACTCAAAATTGACCAAAACCCGACTTCCAAGTTTCCAGTGCGCTACAACTTAACAAAAACCGAGGAAAGAGGGGAAAACTCATTCCGAACCTAAAATCTGGGATCTCTCAAAAATTAATCCCAAAATCCAAGTCCGTGGGGGGAGGGGGGGGGCAAGATGTCCCAGTGCCGTAGCGCGCCGCTGCTCAAGCGCACAGTTCGTTAGCTTTTTTGGTGAATGAAATGAAATTGCAAAATGATTCTTTGCTTTTCTTCGGTGAAGCGTCACAGAACTCAACCTGCAACTTAAGTTTCCTTAGATCACCTGGTTCCTTTCTGTTAGTTGCTGCAATAGTGTTCGTAGTTTCAGCTGTTAAAGCCATAGAAATAAAGCGACGTACCCATTTAGCAGAAAAAAGGAGTCACTTACAAAGAAAAAAAGAACAGTATGT